GAGGGGGATGACGCTGGAACTGTATTGGGATAGGAATCCGGGAGAGGGAAGCCCAGGGGTCTTTCCCAGGAGGTTCTGCTGCAGGGAGGTAGGTAGAGTGATCCCAGGTGGTGAAGTGATGGCCAGTGTGTGACACCAACACAGGGGATGCCCTCCCCAGGACAGAGCCCACCCTTCACGCAGCCTGAAGAGGGTGTTTAGCTCATGGAGCAATGCGGGCAGGTGCCTGGAGGCAGGAGTATCCAGTCTGGAGGCTCCAAAGACCAATTGCACATGGAAGGAGGCGGGTGTCTTGACTGGACCCAGTAGCCTTCACTGACAGCTGAAACAAACAATAGAGGTTTGGAAGATAAAACTAAAAAACTCCTTCAGAAAGTAGAGCAGAAGGATTTTTAAAATAGAAAATGGGAGATGAAGGATAAAAAATTGGAGGACAAGTTTAGAAGGTCCAATATGAAAGCTGAGAGTTCCAAACAGTAAAAGAAGGGAAGGACATCCCCAGTGAAATGACTTAATACCACCTCCCGGCACTGAGGGGCAGAGGTTCCAGCTGCAGAGGCTGGAAAATGCTCCACACCAGGGAAGGAAAAGGCTCATATCCAGGAACATCATTGTGAAATTCCAGGTCACTTGGGATGAGGATGACCAATCATCTCAGTTTGAGGGACTTGTGACTTTCAGTGCTGAAACTAGGAGAGTCCTGGGCAAATAAGAATGGTTGGTCCACCCTCCTGGGAGAAAAACAACTTTACAAAGTTCAGAAAGAAGTCAAAAAACAATGCCTTTGAAATTCTGAAGAAAAATCATTTCTAACTTACAATTCTATACCCTGCTGAACTGTCAATCATATTAGCAAGTGTGATGGTAAAGTGAGACTATTTCCAGGCATGTCAGGCCTCGAAAATTTTATTTCCTGAGCACACCGTATCAAGAAGCTACTGGAGGATGTGCTCCACCAAAACTAAAGAATAAAGCAAGAAAGAAGATGACACGAGACAGGAAGCAGGAGACCAACATGAGAGATAACAAGGGGTCCCTTGGCAGATGGTGAAAGGTGATCCCAGGATGACAGCCCTGCAGATGGGAGGGCAACTGAGCCATACTGCAGCCGTGTCACTCCAGAGACCCCCACCGCCAAGACCCCCAGTTCCATCAAGCCATCTCAACCTGAGGCCAGATGCCTAGGAGAACCCATTTTCCACTTAAAATGGTCCAGCTTCTCATCAGTACTTGGTTTGTCATGACCACGTGCTGATGATGGCCTCTCCCCTAGTGCTCAGCTGAGGACATGCATGTCACTCACAGAAGTTCTCAGTTTCCCCTCATCGCTGGAGGTAGGCCACGTGGGCTCAGGGGCGGGGAGTACAGAGCAGCCCACTCCCTCTGACCGCTCTTCTGCTGCATGTCCCACACCTGGTCCACACGCCAGTGCACCCTACTGTGGAGAACCCTGTTTCCCAAGACTCAACCATGACCTTGCTCACGACTTCCCCAGAAGAGGCCTTGTCACCTCCCAGTGAAGTGGAAGTCAGACCACAAACTCGAGACTTTTCCACTCACCTCCCCCTGGAGCCACCGTCCAGCAGGGGTAGTGCTGCCCTTTCCTTGCACTGCTGGTGTGGGCTTGCCCTCCTCATTCAAAAGTAGGCAACTTATTGTCTAGGGATAGACACACAGGTATAACTAGAAAGAAAATCAATCTATAATAATAAAACCGTAATGTGCTAATTAGACCGGATGTCCTTCTGGACAAAGCTGGGGCTGCGAGGGAAGCCTGGGTCCCGGGTGCCTGCTGGTGGCTGGAGGGAAACCCAGGTCCTGGGTTCCAGAGGGAAGCTGATGCCGGCAGCCGGGGGAAAGAAGGCCTACTCTTGTACGAATTTCGTGCATGGGGCCTCTTAGAAAAAAAATATTTTAAAAAACAAACAATAGGGAATGGGTGACATGCACATCAATGATGAATTTTTTGATGTCCAATTGTAGTTTTATCCACTTGAATAATACCCTTTGTATCATGTCGTATATGCAACTTTCCTGCCATTTTCACCTTCTTATGCCATAACCATTTCTGTGTGGTGACTGAGTCTTCCTAACCATCGTTTCAATGGCAACAGAGAGTCCACCAACTGGTGGTTCTGATCGTGTCCTTGTCCATTCTCCTTGTGTTTGTCACCTATGTTGCTCTGAGGTTGTGTTCACAGCCAAGCACACTCCTTCCCATAGCCTTGTGTCTTTTGATTATTTTTGGGGGATACATTTCCAAGGATTTGATTCAGGTAAAAGGACACTGTCCAACATAAGGCTCTTGGCACTTGAGCCAAATCTTGTACAATTCAAAAGGACGATGACAATGTCCACCACACCCAGCAGCATCTGCGGGCCGAACAGCATTGTTTTATTGTCTTGTTCATTTCATGGGTATAAAGTGGACACCCTCTGGAGTCACACCAGGCACATGTCTGTCTGTTCACATGCGGAGCCCAGGCCCGGGCGAGGCAGAGAGCGAGAACTTGTCTCTGGGCATCCCTGTGGTCACAATGGTTCTGGTCACCCCCACCCTGGCCTCCATTGAGAGCGTGCTGCTCCAGGGCAGAGTGAGATCTACACATCCCCCTCCCCATGTGGCCAGCACCTCACACCGGCCCCAGATCCCGGCCAGAGACGGAGGTGCTCCAGGAGCGCCCCAGCTTGTCCCTCCAGGTGGTGGCATCCGGGCCTTCAGGAAGGCCCCTCCCACACACCTGGCAGACCACAGCATCACCTCAGCTGCAGGCCCAGTGCTACAGGGAGAAGGTGCCAGTAGCTGGCAAGAGAGAGCAGGCCTTGCTGCCCTCGTGTGTTCCAGCTTGTGGAGTTAGGCTCAGACACAGGGCCCTGGGCATGGGGCACACCTGTGCCCTCCCCAGAGCTGACCATCACCCCTGGGTGCCCACATGCTCAGCGACCTTCCCACTAAGATGAACAGGAGGTGTGTGTGTGTATGTGTTTAATTTTACAGTTTCGTTGGCTGTAAATGGAACACTTACAGCTTTGCCGGGAGGTGAACATAAAGCAATGGCTGCCCCAGGGCCAGCACCGTCGGTTCTGCGGTCCACACTGGTTCCCACGCCCTCCCCATGCTGCGGCCCAGTCCTCCGCCTCGGAATGGCTCTGTGGGCTCCCTCTGATCCCCAACATCAGCTCCGACTCTCCGCGTCCCTCTGTCTGCTCTCAGACCAGGTCACCCAGGGGCAGGGAAAGACAGAAATGGCCCAGGGACAGGGTCTGCCATGGGGGGCAGCAGGGGCAAGGTGAGCTGGGCGATGGGGACACTGATCCCCGGAAGGTCCTGTGGTGAGCCTGCAGGACCCCATGGTTAAGAAGGTGGGGGTTGCCATGGCTGTGTTGCTCAGTGGATAGAGCATCGGCCCAGCACCGAAAGGTCTCGGGTTCGATTCCTGGTCAAGGGCATGTGTACTCAAGTTGCAGGTTCGATCCCTGACCCCGGTCAGGGTGTGAGCAGGAGGCAACCAATCCATGTGTCTCTCTCATGTCAATGTTTCTCTCTCTCTTTCCTCGGTCTCTCTCCCTCTCCCTCCCTCCCTCCTTTCCACTCTCAGTGAGGATTAATACACACAAAAATGTGGGGCTGACTTAACTGTCCTGCATGGGGGATGGTTAAACAGTCAGAGGCTGGGCAGGGTCTGTGGCTGTGAAGGCGCCAGCAGGCCCGTGGCAGAGCTGGGAGGAGACGCACAAATCCACTGCACACGCGTGCTGAGGTGCCGGCTGCAGGCCCCGCCTCGGACTCGGCCCCAGGTCAGAGAACCCTGCCTGGAGGAGGGCTGGCGGGAAGATGCCATCTCAGCTAGAGGTGGCCTTTCCCTGCACCAGGCACTGACAGCAGCACCCACCCCGCCTCCCCGTACTCAACGGGGTTGACAAGGAGAATCTGCTGGTGCCCACCAGCATCAGGCCTGGTCTCAGCGGGAAGGGGGAGAGTGGCGTCACTGCAGGGAAGTGGGGAAGGCTCCAGAGAGATGGGGGAGGGAGCAGCTGGGTGTGTCATTGGTGCCTCATCACGAAGAGCCCGGAGTGCCAGGCTTCAAAGGGCCACAGTTTGGCTGCCCTGGAGACACCGGCTTAACGGGCTCACGATGGAGAAGCCCACGAGCAGAGTCAAGCCCAGCAGGACCCAGGGCCTCACACGCTGACCCCGGAAATGTGCTCACTTTCCTGGCCGCTTGTGGGGGTGGATGATCCCAACAGTGACATTCCACCAGCTCAGGGACCCTGGGCCAAAGAGCTCCCAAGGGCCACAGAATTCTGGGGTTGCACCTGAGGCCCCAGTTTAGATCAGACTCATCCCTGGCCCCATCTTTGTGGCCGGGGCTGAGGGATCTGCTGATTGCCTGGGCCTTGTCCCAAACTCCCTTCACATGGCAGTTCCTACAATCGCTCAGATGAGAGTGGGAAGAACTGACTGCTGGGGGTGCTGTACCGTGGGCTGGGGGTCCCTGGCAGCCCTCCCAGGAAGTGACCACTGGGCCCAGGTGGGCACAGAAGTGCCTGTGGAGTCAGGGCCTGTCCAGCCAGGGGGCCAGCGGGCCCAGCTTAGGTGCCCCCTCAGCTCCTTGCATTGCAGGCAGGCATGCCCCGGACACCGCGTGCCTCGGACACGGTCATCCCCGGCAGCCCCAGCCCACCCCGCACTGAGCCCAGGGACCATGAGCAGGCCGAGCAGCCTGTCCTGGGCGGAGCTCCTTCCTCAGCCTCCCTGGACACCCTGATCCAGCAGCTGGTGCCCACGGCCAACTACTACCCTGAGGTGGGTGGCCCTCCCGGGAGGGGGCCGGGGATGGGGGGTGGGGAGGAAGTAGAAAGAGCTCTCCTCC